GGGAAGGGTAAAACCTGGTAAGAGAAGATAATGAACTCATGCAACAGTCCATGGATAAGGAGAATAAGGTTTAGAATTTAAAAATTAAATAACTGCGGTAGTGTTACTGCCTCTTTGCTAATTAAGATGCTAAGCCTATTAATAACGATGCAGAAAAGGCGAAAGTTTCCAATTAATATTTACACTTCCTATTTGCAAAGGTAGCATATTGTGTGACTAAGTATTTTGCAACGCACTAGCAACTGAAAAGGCAATGCATTACTACAAATAAGTGTTTTAATGAACAGCAGATATTAAAGATAGCTGACCCAGCATATCTTTAGATAACCGAAAATTTCAATAAATTTTGGGAAAACGTAACTGTTGCACTACAGAAGGGCAACTAGAATGAATCAGGTATAAATACAGACCAATTTTCCAATATCCAAACCATGCTACAGAATTTAAATTTATAGAAGATTAAAGGTTCAAAAACGTAATTACCACTAGTTAACATCTTTTATGAGACACAGGCTTTAGTAAACCTCATTTTGCTTTTCAGTGAGGTATTTGCTTGATAAACCTAACTGAACAGACTTAGTACTTTTTCAGGGCATCATCACAGTGAGTCCAACATCTTAACTCACAACTAGCATGGTATATGGCGATACAATACACACTGGGTACACAAACTGGCAGGTTTCAAGGAGGAGCTTCCCCACTGGCTACAAGTCAGGTGAGTTTTAGGGAGGTTGTATAGATTTGTGATAGGACTAACACACTTTATTGCTAATAAAATCACACAAAAGGCAAAGTTGGGCAAAGCGTTCTTACACAGAGCCAGAGTAATGCAAAACATCAGAAATCACAAAGCAAAGCTGACTTTCATTCAGGTACAACCTGCTTTGGCATAGCAAAAGGCAAAAATATCCATACAGGAAAATAATGTAGGCCAAAAAACGGGACAACTGTCCTGGCCTCTCCAGAAAACATTTCTTCAGTTCTAACACCCACTGTGTTGCCGTGGCAAAAGCAGCTAGTGGGAATTGTGAATATATAAGCTGGAGCACAGAGAGTGAAGGAGGAGAGGTTGAAAAATCAGCAAAACACCAGAGGGGAAACACAAAGGGATGAAGAAAACATTTACAGTTGAAGACTAGAGAAGATGAATTTGTTTAGGCTATCACAAAGAACTTGCACAGAAATAAATAGCGCGTATGTTCACACATTTTAATAATGACAGTTTGTTCTCATTAACGAATACCCACGAGTGGTGGATTTGCACTCTACTACAGCATTTACAACTAGGCAAATTCTTGAATGAAGAACTGAGCTCAGTTTAACTGAAAGATACTTAGTTTAATGCCAAGTAACTTAAGTTTTAAGACCTGCAATATTAGAGCATCTAATATAATTAGTCTCCTTTGACCACAAGGTATCAAGAAAGTAATGTTATTTTTCCCCAAGCAGCATTCAGCCAGTCTTCAAACAGGCATCTCCATTTATCAAGGAAAAGCACAGCATGTAATCAGCTAGGCTATAAAGAACAGTATTCTAAAGCTGAATATGGAGCACCCAAGCACTACTGCTATCATGAGCTGACCCTCTCGGAATTAAGCCTCCATTTCCATCGTGCCATTTACAGCCATCAGCCTGAGATGAGAAAAAAAAAAAATTTCCATCCCCTCTGCACAAAAAGGAAAGAACCCCCAACCCACTCTAACGGAGACAGAGGGGATGGCTCTTGATTAAGGGGGCTTTTACCAATGAACCACTGTGCTAAATGCGAACATCAGCTAAGTGCTGATCTTCTCGGAGGTGGCTGTACCTTTGATGAACAGTATGTAGGTTCATGAACTGCAAAGCTCTTTCAGCACTTTGAAGGCATTACATAAATGTTTAAACTTAAGGAAATCCAAGCCCTTATACATTTCAGTAAGATCCTGACTACCAATTTCACATCACTATACTTGCATTTATACTTGCATAGTGTAAGTAGCATTAAAGATCAGGTGCACTTTGAGCAAAGAACAGCTCCAAAATGAGTTGCAGCATCATGTTTATTTACATAGTATCTCTCAGAAAATGCATCACAAACATGACAGAGACAAGAAGCTTCACAACAAATCCAGGCGAGACTTTTCTGTACATTATATTTTTCAACCACTAGAAATATTTTATTACCAACACAGACACATTTATACATTAAAAATCTATACAACGTCCTTTTCTCTCCCAATCTCCGAAACGTGTAGGTTCAGGGCCTTTAGGTCCACCCCTCTCTTTTGTAGCAGGATTGATTCCATCAGGGAATTCTAAAATGACAGAGAAAGTTCATTGAAATGTCTATAATGTTGACAAATATAAAGATGTCACCATCTACTATGTTTGCCTCTTAGTTTAATTTTCAAATACAAAATCAATTCTCTTTTGTTTTTAAAGGCAACCTTGAGTTAAACATTTTCCAGTCATACAACAGTAATTTCATAGTTCTGTGACTACAGTCAGCAATATATAGGAGATCATGTTCAGTTGTGCAAATAAAAAAGCAACTCAATGTCCAAAGGCACCAAAGCACCAGTTTCTCATGAATTCATAGTCATTCAGGTATGCTGTACATATGTCCACTACATCTAAAACACCAGGTCTTCCCTTTCTGTGTTTGTTTAGGTCTCTAATTTTAAGCACTCAGATTTTAATTTTAGCTTGAATTTTAGTCAAGATTGTATTATTCTTGTATTTTAAACACCATGTTTTCATGGATGCTGGTATGTTTTTCAAGAAATAGCATGTTGATATTTATCAACACCAGTCTAGATACCACAATCACAGAAGGTACTATAAAGTCCTAAATAACTAAAAATAAACTTTTTACCTTCTAAAACCTAACTTAAGCTTGCTAAGTCACTGTGATGCCCTTTCAGGACAGGGAGACTCTTTGTAATTGAGGTATAAAGGGGATTTTCAGCACGTTAGCAGTGCTGCTTCTTCTGTTCCCAGCACCCTACTAGTTGCCACCTACTCGAACACCATGGAGCTTTCTGGACCTCAGTGACATCTTTCTGCTACTCGGTGCTCCCTCACTCAGGGTGCTCTCTTAAGAGGAGTAACTCAGGCCACCCATGCTGCACGATGACCATCCCACTAGGCACTGCCAAGGCACAGAGTACGTTTTGGCACAGCACCATCCTAGGTGGAGTGTTTTCTCACCCTGCCCTAGACTGCGGGGCTCCCTGAAGCTCACTGTACCCCCCACATCCTCTTGCCATGCTGACTCTCCAGAGCCTCCCATGTATACACATAACTTGGGGTTCCCTCAGTTGTATCCCTAACTCAGCCCTGGTGAGCAACACAAATAAAGAGGAACAGGGTTGAAAATGAGAAAGGACAACAGAAATCCTGGAAAGTGGAGAAAAAGGACAGTAATGGAGGGAGGCTCGTGTAGCTACAGGCAATACAGAATGACATATTGGGAAGCCTATTTAAAAATTCATGCAGACCAGGATAGGAAATGTCAGTATTTGAGAACCTCTGGCAGTACAAGGAGCGCAAATGCTTCTAGTATTATTTTGTAGATGTCACCATCCCAATATCCAAGCGCTACTGATGTGCTGACAGTGGATGCAGAAGATCAAAAAATTTCTCCATGACAGCTACACAGCAGTGGGAATTCAAACAGCCAGCTTAAACTTTCACGTTTTTTCCTAATAACACAATGGGCAGTCAGGATTCTAACAAATTATTGCTGGTGTTACATGTAAAAAATACATAGGTACAACTAAATTTAAAGCCAAAAGAAACCTCGAGCCTTGCTCTAAACCTAGAACACCTAAGCAGAAAGCAAAAGATAATTACGCATTTGTTTTACATGAAACAGTGATATTTATTTCCTTGAGAATAAAAGGACAAGAATTAAATAGCTGCTTACACAGTAACTCCAACTCTGAGTCAGTTCTCAAGTGAGTCACAATCTGAAATTGCTTTCAGCCATTTCAGAGATGATATTATAATTTTTCAGTCATTCTGTCATCTGGATATTCATAGTAATCTATTGATATATTAAAAAAGCTTGCCCTAAAGACCTCGAAATAGATAAACACCAGGTATCACTACTGTTAAACAGTAGCAGAACATCACACTATGGTGAATAAGATAAAGCATGACTAGCACTGTTAGTTAAGGGAAGATGGCTAATTAAAAAGAAGGAAGATTCTGTCTTTCTCCTGTCTGATAAAAAAGTGTATGTTTCTAGTGACTTCAGCAGCAATGTATCTCTGCCTCAATCTTGTCAGGTTCTCTAAATGTGGCCCCAACTGCGGTCACTTGAACGCAACACAATCAGCAGTTCATTAGGTCTCCTCTGAGCCCGCTGAGCGGCTCAGTAAACTCATCACTCATTGCTGCTTTTCAAAACACTACCTGCAAGACTAAGAGAAAGACTGACCCCAAAATACTGTATGAACTACAAAACTTTTGTGGACTAAGAAATAGAACAAGCTTTTGGGATAATAAAAAGTAGCTGGTGCCCTCATGAATTTAATACCATCATTTATATCTGTACTATAATAGACCAATACCAGCTACATTTCTCAGAATCATGCAATGGTTTATGGTGGAAAGCACCTTTGGCAGACATCTGGCCCCAACCCTGCTCAAAGCAAGCACTAGGTAGGACATCCAGGCAAATCTGAGTGTCTCCAAAAGGAGAGGGATCACAGATTCTCTGGGTGACTTGTTACAATGTCTGACCACCCTTCTTCCAAAGACTTTTTCTCTCACACGCCATTTGCTGCCCACTTGTGCCCACTGCCCTGCCTCTCTGTTTTTTTTCAGAACCATCAAGCTTAAAAAGCCATCCTGAAGAGCGCTGAATGCCTACCCCTCTTCTTCAACTGGCATCAGCACTGCAGCTCAGGATCTTGCCTTCAAAACAAGACTTGCAATTTTGTAAAACATGACTTACTTTCCAGGGGTTCACTCTCTATACTGGACTCCTCTGGTTCATCGAATCGACCTACTGGTAACTTTGGTTTCTTAAGCGGCTGCTTAGCAGGTTCAGATCTTCCTTGTGTAGAGCTGGTACTCCTCACAGAGCTGCAAAGCAGTGATGACTCTATCAAACAAATGGACACATGTAGCGTAAATGTGAGAGTTTAATACCTTCAACTGTTCAGAGCGCCTCTGAAAAACCCTCACTTCAGAAACTAGGGAGCGAAGGACAGGAAAACAAATTCCAAATATTAGTTTAACATTCAACTCACAAACACCTAAGAAATCAGCACAGATAATTATTTTTGGCCCTAGAAACATATGCAGGCAGAATGGTGTTAGTTGTATAACTCAGTTCACATAAACAGTGTATTTTAAACTGCTTGAACTTATCTTCACTGTTATCTTCTTGTATTTTAGACTCTAAATAGTAATTATGCTAGCATAGACCACTACACTCTGTTTTCCTGGAGAAGTCCTAACCTCCCCCAAGAAGCCTGCTGATTTCCAGGTCTTGGCTCATTGCCAGGAGCTTTTGAGTCAGAAAAAGCTTCTGCTTTCCCAAAGGAAAGTTTTAAAAAATAAAACGTTGTTCCCTTAGTAACAGGTTTTCCAGAATGTTGGTAGAGAATAGTTGGGCTTCCCTTATGATGATAAAATAATTCAGCTGGTAGTCAAAAGCAAGACAAACTTTGAGCATATTTAAGTTCAATTATAGAACTGCATGCAAATGCTTTAATTAAAAGCATAAACTTTTTTCCTTTACAGTCCCACTAACGTTTTTTTAATATAAATGTAGGAGAAAGCCCATTAATATCCATACCTAAAGTCCTTTCAAGTAGTATAAAAATGGAGGTGCACAGACACCGTAAGTCATAAACAATTCAAGAGTCATAAACAAGTCAAAAATTACTTATGAATATCTCTCAAAATGACTGATATTTCTCCATTTGGTTAAAAAGCCAAATGTCCACAGTAAGCATGAACTACCCTCTAAAAATATGGACATGTGCCTGAAGCAGCTCTAATTTTTCTTAAGAAGGAATATTCAAACAGAAATCCTCCCTGTACCAGCCTGGGTGCAAAGGACTTCAAAGAACTATTCTTCTACCTTGCCGAAGAGATCACATCAGGAAACCTTCTCAAGCAGCGTGCATTTGACTCAAATATATAAATGCCAACCAACAATCCACCTGTATTCCCAGAATCAGCATATTCATACATCCTAAAATACCACAACTTAATATTAAACCCTAAAGTCACCTTAACTGTGTTACGCCTGGCAACAGCTGCCAATGCCCTGAAGGATTATTTTTTTTTTTGCTTTAAGCATGACATAATGGACTATCAACAGTGAAGAATCTACTCCTTCTGCATACACTGGATCTTTCTACTCCTGCCAAGCATCTTGTCATTCTTCAGCAAGCAAAAAGAGAACCTAGCTAGAGAATTAAATTAAAGCTGATTTATCTAGTCCAAGTTCAAATAAAAGTCAGATTAAGGTACTGATATGAAATTGATTATCTGTCAGCAGAGAAGAGGCAAAATCTGTTTTCTTATTTGCAGTACTTGATATTGTTGACAAAAATACATTCTTCTTGACACAGAAGTGTCAGAAGTTCAACATAAAGTACCTCTGAAAAAGATCAGATGAACAATCAACTTTATCAGTATACCACATTCTACAAACTGATCTTTGACTCCCTCATCCCTTATAGGCAGCCACAAAGCCATCCAATTTATTAATTATATAGCTGAATTCAAAAAGAAGTTGAAAATCCCAAGTCTTTAAAGTTGCTGCGCAGCCAACATCCACAATATCATGTCTTTTGAAGTGGCCACAGACTGTTATTTATTATAACAAAGCCATTCATGCAGAGGGAGCTGGGCACTCATTGGGTGGCTCAGGAGCCAGGAGCATCAGCCAAATCTTGACATGAACCTAACAGCCAAATAGAGCCTAGGAGAGCCCACAAACATCTAACAAGATATTTTTTCCTCGCTCTTCTATTAACACATACTGTACCAGCCTGTTTCAGGAATATTGTATCAATAGCATCACACAAATCTCATCTTTTGATGGAAAAGGCAGTGGCCTGACTTGCAGCCCTACAGAACAGCCTAAGTTGCATCTGTTCATGTGGGACAGAAACTATTGTGCCCGCTGATTTAGCTGTCCTCCAGCCTAGGCTTCTCCATGAACAAACCATCTGACTTCCCTCATTTAAAGGACACAGACCAATAACTTCCAAGGCCACAGTAAATCTCCTCTAACTATTCTACAGATATTAAACCACGGCTTAATATTTTACTACTGTTTAAAAGTTCGCAGCAACGACAGAGCAAGAAAACCTCTAGAACCGACGGCAAAGTCTGATAGCACCCAGCTTGCATTATAGGGGAGAATATTAATGGCGGGGGCGGGGGCTGGGAACCAGAGGAGAAGGATGGGGGGCACCCCACCGCCCCTGACAGAC